TTTATATGTCTTTTTGTATCTGATATGTTGGATACAGAAGCTAGATGCATCCTTTATTAGATCAAGCTCAATGAACCATACTTCTTTATGTCAGTAGGTGTGTATAATTTCTACACACCTTCCATGTAAATTAAGAATTGCTGCAAACTAAATCAGATCGAAGAAAATATAAAACTAGGTAATTTATTTATTGACTAACCATCATTTCAAGATAAAACCCACACAAGGATGATAAATAATCCTTAAGCATCACATTACCATCCACAAATCTCCACATCCTGCATCAGTAGTGGGCAAAATAAATCAGGAAAAAGAATACCAACTAATTCAGCTCCACTTCTGATATGAAAGAAAAATAAATTGTGCATACGGAAAATTGAAGTGGTCAGGAAATATGTTTTTATATTACTATCTCAAAGATGATTACTCCTCTGACAGTTTAAGGATACAAGAAACTGAGCAGTCCTGTTTCAATGGGCACAATACATTTGTTAATACTTAATCAATTACTTAATAGTAAACAAGCATCATATTGTAGAGAAAGTACAATGAATGCAATGCAGACAATACCATTATGTTGGAGAACTTCAGAGGTCACACTGTTTTCAAAATGCAAGTGCTTTAATATTTATAATGTTTGTGGATGAGGTAATTTTGTTGTAAAGCAACATCCAGGGACACATTAACAAAGTTGAGCATTTAATAATACAGTCAGGATGGAAAGTGCTCTCAGTATCAAATCTCAACTTCTAACAAGTACTTTATCAGTTTGGTGAGATTTTAGCAGCTACAGTTTGGAAACTGAAGTTGGATAATTGCAATTATGTGGAGCACCAAAAAGTTTCCAAATTAGCAACCTAAAACTTTGAGATAAAGCCTTTGTTGTTGTTGTATCTAAAGTTTCTAAATGGTTTGGGTGTCATTCGGCTAGTTTTCCTTTCCGATACTCAAAATTTTGTTGTATTTTCGATATCTAAGAGCTAGTTGCTGATGCACAAATTGAAATTGTTGAGCGCATAGATTGTTCTTTTCTTAATTGCAGAATTGCATTCTGAATAAATTTTGCAAATTTTCAGTTGAAATTCTTCTCTCCTCCTAGTTCAGGGAGGTCACTTTCAGACAACGAGACAAAGAAAAGAACACACAAAACTGTATATAACAACTTTTTCTGCATAGTTTATTCATGGCTAAAGTCTTTAGGTTTATTTGGTTACTAGCATGGAGGATAGCGAGGGATGATTCGAGGATCTTGATTCGTTGCTTATGTGGTCCTTTACAGTGTGATTATTATAGTTCATACAAAATTCTTGACATGCTGTTCTCTTTTCACTGTATTTGGGCAAATAAATGAGATTTGAATTAAGAGAAGTATACAGTTTGTTGATTGGGACACTAATGAATAACAATTATGAAAACCAAATTGAAAATTTCTTCACAATTTCCTTGTTCTGTCCCCTTACTGCTGTCTTCTTTTGAGTTGAAGCATCCAAAAACAGTTGCCAAATTTAAAATTTTCTGCTGAACATGAAAAAGTCCATTCACTATCTTAATCTGTTGTACTTGGCAAGAAATTAATTTAAGAGTACAGTTGGTTAACAAGGACATATGCATTATTTTCCCAGTTACAGTCAGCAAATAACATATTAGATGAAAGTCTCTAATGCTTTTGAGATTTCATTGTTCTGAGGTAAGTATTTCATAATGTACGTCGAGTCAGTTGGAGCTTCTTGTTTATTAAACTTGTGATACTTGGATATGCCCCTTGAGGCCTAGCCTCTTTTTCTTCAAATATATTCTGCTTGTTCTTCCTATACCTCATATTTTTTTCAAGACCTAGTTCCAGCCTCCCAGGTGTTCTGTATAGTCTCAAATTGTGCCCTACTTAAAGGCAATGCATCTATTTATCATATTATTGTTAATTTGAAAAGAAATAATAATGTACAGAAGTAGGTGCACTCAAAATCGCAATCTTTGTAGGATATTGGTTAGAGAAAATGAATCTATAGCACTAAGCGTCCAAATTCTTTGATGCAGAGTTACTTGAGGAGCAAAAATCAATGGACCGAGGTAGATGCATGAATACCGCACATGAACTTGTGTCACATTAGACCTCCTTGGTCTCTAGATTGCAAGCTTGAGGAGTAATTCTGGAGTTTAGCATATATGTCAAGATTTCAATTCATGCTGTAAAGACCTATGCACACTCTCTCTTGGTGCCATCCAAAATATTCAAGAAAATATAAAAAAGAAAGTGAGGTGCCAACTTTCCATGGTGTTTTTCTGCTGTTGCTCTTTTTTCTTTTCCTTTGTTATTCTGATTCTAGTTTTACCAAAATTTTTAGAATAGTGTTTTCTGAGAGGCACTTGTCTTGTAATTTGACTTGTAGTTTTACTAATTGTTGGAGGTACGATAACAAATGTTACTAATACTTCTCTTTTGTTACTTTCGATTTAACTCCCAAAAAATGTAGAACGCTTTAGTTTTTTGAGTTTTGCCTCTGAACTAATATAGATTATAGTCTGGTGCTCTATGTATGTTATTTTCGATTACTAATATAGATTATACATCTGGCTTGCAATAAACTTAGCACAAGTGTATAATGCAGGAAAGAAAAATTACTCGTCGTCAGATAGTTGATAACTTGAGGAAGATGATCGTCGACGATGTTTTACTGGTGTCCACCATCAAAGTTTACAACAAATTAAGAGGTATGATTCTGATTTTAAGCTTTAACTTTTCGTAGTATTTCTCTGTGACGCTGCTAGTTATATCCAAAAATATATCATCCAAAGCAGGAGTCTACTTGGAGATGATTATTGGTTGTGAAATATTTGGTATTGAACTTTGTTTTGTTATTTTAAAGTTTCTCTTAACAATGTTTTCCGGGGAGGGAAAAAAACTAAGAGATCTTTAAATTATTTATTATCTATGCTTATACGCTCAGGGATCACCTTAAGATTAGTATTTATTATAAGATGAAATTATCGTTAGTGGATACAATTATCTTTCTTTAATGAATTGATGAAGTCAAAAAAAATTACGGTACTCCGTAGCAGAAGAAATGGCAACTGACAAAGATGACTAGAGATAATTGGTTTTTATGTTGATGTCAAGATATCGGAATAAAGTTTTTTTCATTGTCACTGAATATAGATTCTCATTAATTCATGGTTTTAGAACTACCATGACTTTATGATCTAATTCACTGGAGCAATTTCTTAATTTGTTTAATATGATGATGCTTTTCCCTCTGCTAATAACATTTTCTGATGCTTGAGGTATATTCTTTTCATTTGAATGCGCTAATAATGATTGTAAGCTTCCCTGAAAATGTACTCTGCGTGGGCTCTAGCTGCGGGCGTCAACTAAGAGTACGCTACAGTTAGCTTTCAAATCTTTTTTTAAAAGATTTAACTTTATAAATATTGCCCTCAAGTTTGTAAATGTTGCCCTCAAGTTTGGTTGCAATGGAGGAGCAGTCATTAATTTTTTTTAAAAAAAATAATCTTCTCAACAATTGATTAAATTTTCTCCACTTTTTCTTTTCTGCAGCGGATTGTGGCATCAGTCGTGAAAAACTGATGTGGAATGATGCGCGATACGTGATGACGAGTGGCTAATCTTGATCGAAAAATTTAAAATAAGAAAAAGAAGTTTTTAATCCCCCTTCATGCATCTCTTCTTGTTTCCTTAGTTATGTTAAATTGACCTCGTTGATGCCGGTTAACAAAATGGTACGTAGCCGTTTTTATTTTCTTTTATTTTTCGCTTAAAATGTTATTTTTTATTAAAAAAATTCAAGAGTAAATAACAATAAATTAAGCAAAATTTTGATAAAAAATCAATCATATTATCAATTACTTGTAACTATATAATTTACAAATACAAAAAATCATAAAAATTAAAATAATAAAAATAAATTCTTTATTAATAATTAGTTATTCAGTAACACTTATAAATTTATTTTGAAATTTATCACATCATAATATATGAATACATCCTAATTAGGTTGACACCTACTCATTTATATCACTATTATTTGTAACTCTTTTTAAAATAATTTATAACAATTTTTAAGCTAAGAAATAAAAATTACAAACTAATGAATAATTTCTATTCTTTATCTCTATCTCATAGTCTCAACTCTTCAAGTTTATCTTCAATACCAGTCATCTGATCGATGCATTGAGTTCTCTTCTCATACCTCCACCAATCTTGTTGGCACATCACCGCCTATACGATAGACGGATCTAAGAATGCCCTGGGGTCGTCGATCAAACGTCCTGTGTGCTGAAGGCGGATTCCGAAGCTACCGTGAAAACCTGCACTGTTAATAAGTCACGAGCCATAATGAAAAGTATATTATATGAAACTATTCCATATACTCTCTACCATTGCAAAATATCAAAACTATTATTTAGAATTTTAACTAAAGATGCAGTTAAATATTGTTTAATTTTAGAAACTTTCATTGATGATCCAGATCCAGATCCACCAGTTAGCCAAGCTATCAATAATTCTCTATCAAAACTCTTATATTTGCCTCGACTTGAACTCGTAGAAGCAAAAATTGTATGCTCATGTATACTTACACCATATCTAGCTGCATGCTATCATATAATCTTTAAAAATAAATTCTGATAGTATTATGATGAGTAAGAACAGTAATAGTTTGATCATCATCAGTGTCTATTATCATATTACCATACAAAGAATTTAACAAATTTCGAAGGCAAACATCATTCAAACATGGATCAATAAGAACACTCAAACCAAAAATAATAGGAATATGCCTAAAATACTTATTAAATTTACTTTCTATTTAAAAAATTATATTTTCAAAATAATTATCCATACGATAATTATTAAAAAAAGTTTGAATATTTAAAACTTGTAAAACAGCTTGAATAACAGTTGGATAATAACAACTAGATAATAATATAGTAGCATCATAAAAAACTTGTAACATATCTTTTATACTATATATAACTAACCATTCACCCTCAGTTATTCCATGCATATTACCAGAGCTAGAACTAGAGGTATAGAAAGCAATAAAATTATTTATAATTTTTTTATACTCTATTGCTACATTTAACATTACATAGGTAGAATTCTACATATGGTCAACATCTTTTGGAAATAATCTGGGTTTAATTTTTTTTTTCTTTTATACAATTGTTTCCATCTTTTAAGTTTTTGTTCAGAAGCATTATGAGCATAAGCTATTGTCTTAGCCTTTTCTATCATGGATTTAATTTTACCAAATACACTTTGAACAATTAAATTTAAAATATAAACATACATCTAATATGAAAAATATCACCATGACATGGCAATAGTAAAGATGATTTGATATGATCAACAGCTACATTATTATTACTTGCATTATCTAGTGAAAGAGAAAATATTTTTTCTAAATTTTTTAGTATTATAAATTCTTCTATTATTAAATCTGCAATATTAATACCACTATGTGATTCTTCAAATGCAATAAAAGAAATAATTCTTTTAAAAATCTGTCAATTATCATCAATCCAGTGTGTTGTGATACGTAAATAACCAGTTTGTATTCTAGATGTCCAAATATCAGAAGTTAAAGAAAATTTATAGTTTAAATTTAAAAATAAGAAATTATTTTTACTTGTTCCTCGTGATAATATTTTGAAATATCGCGTTGACAAGATTGATGAGAATTTTTTTAAATACGGGATAAAAACCACCTGTAATCATATCTTCAAATTTATAATCTTCTACTAATTTAAAAGGAATATTTTTAAAAACAATAAACCTGATGACGTATTTCCTAACTTTAATTGTGTCATAGTTCTAACTACCGAGACTACCGAAAGATGATGATTGAGAGAGTATCACATTAAGGCGTTGTCTGACCTCTGTTGTGCTTTTCTAAATGACGTTTGAGGTGGTTGGTGCCGTTTTTATGATGAGCTTAGTAAATATGGCAACACAACGCACATTTAGCCTTCTAGGTGAGAAGCTTACCGTGTTAATCCCCGGTGACTTCTATCTTCTCGAAGAAATTCCACACGTCGGATCTCGGCCTTTTAAGAGCTCTAAGTGCAAAATCATCACCACTGGATTCGTTATTAACATCGGTAGGAGGAGTAACTGTAGCTTATGTAGTAGGAGTATTATGGTTTTAACATCGGGAGTTTGGATTTGCCCTTCATAATCAAAGGAGAAAGCCATTTGATTGGAGAACTAGAGAGCAAAATCGAGAATAAGAAAATATTAGAGAGTACTAGAGAGTATTAGAGAGAAGTAGATGAGTTTTGGATGAGAAAAACAAATAAAAACTCTCTATATTTATGGAGGTAGCCCCCTAACCAAATGACTAAAATGCCCTCAAATTTTGGCCATTTTTACTGTTTTAAGGGTTAGTTTGGTCAAAAGTGCAAAATGACCGTTATGATCGTTCGGCC